CAGTCATACCTCCCGACTATACTCATAGTAGTCATCTCGTGGGTCAGCTTCTGGCTGGACGAGGAGGCCATACCCGCCCGCATCACCTTAGGGGTCACGACCCTACTCACCATCTCGTCCAAAGGTATACAAGCAATCCCTTTACGAAAAACTAGTGCACCGGTAGTCAAAATCCTGTTTCGTTAATACTGTCATAGAAACTGTTTTTTGCGGTTTAGGCGCTGGTATTCAGAGTAATTTGCCGCCCGTTTCGTACGCCAAGGCTATCGACGTGTGGATGGGTGTGTGCACTATATTCGTGTTCTCAGCCCTATTGGAGTTCACCTTGGTCAACTACCTGTGCAGAATCAAAGCCAGACGCAACCACAAGTCGCGTGCTTTTCTGTTTCAAGAGGTTTGCGATGTCTCTCATAATTATAGACGAAATATAATTTATTCCTGTAATCAATGCGATAGTGATTTGTCACATAGTATCGCATATTATGTCATTTGTTGCATAAAAAACTTTTGGCAAATAGTTTTACTTTGACTACGATTTGCACTTAATCTCTATTGGTTTCCTTGATCTCTCTCTCTCTCTCTCTCTCTCTCTCTCTCTCTCTCTCATATTCTTCTGACATATAGATAGATATTGATTAACATTAGGATATGTGCCTTAAATTACTATTATATCTAGTTCCTATCTAAATCACTCGAATCAATAGTTTTATTATTAGATAATATTTTCTAATAAATCACCTTGATGTTTATAAGATATAAATAATAACTTAAATGGTTGTAATAAATTCATTCACTCTTTTTTATCTTATTTTGAATAATTTAGTATAATTTATTCACTCTATTGGATGAATTGCTTTATTATAAAAGTTATCTATATTTAATAAAGCTTACAAAATTTTTATTATTATATTTTTAATTTTTTATTAAATATGCAAATTTAGTATAAGGTTATCGATTAAAATATTTATTTTTGAAATATTTTTATTAAATTCTTTCATCAAAATATCCTTATAATTCACTCCTTATTACTCATATAATACCATAAAATACTATATAAATCCAAACCTAAAATTAGTATATTTATTATTTTCTCATTTATTAATGCTTTCATATTTAGTTCAAAGAGACTTTTTATTAAGGAATTGTGAATTGAATTTATTTTTCTTATTTGCTTTTAAATATTATTATAAAGAATAGCTCTCTCTCTCTCTCACTCACTCACTCATTCACCACTCACTCTAACATTACACCAATAGCTCTCCCATTGATAGCAAAACTGATGACTATTTTAATACTGTTGTTATTAAAAACTATTTTATTATGCAATTAATGCGAGCGTTGTATGAATTGAATTGGTTTTTGAAATGATATTTACTTTTTTGTAATCACATTTTAATGGTATAATTGACTACAGTACACATACCGTACCGTATGTGTACACACAATACACATGAAACTCCCGTCGCATTTGAATATTTATTTAAATTAGACTTTTATTTATACGCTTTTTATTAGTTTTTGTGTTGCGTTTTGATTTATGCCATAAATGATTGTTTAATAATTATTATTTGCTTTTCGTTTTTGATTTTTACTTTATTTTTTGCCCACTTTTAGCCATTTGAATGACTGAATAGCGAAAAGGCTTTTGAATAGAGTTTTGCGTTTGTTTTTCGGCGAAGATTTTTGTTGTTGAAAATGCTTTTATTTTTCATTCATCTCAACTCAAATCAATGCTTAGTTTGGAGTTTTGTTTTTGTAGTGAAATTTATTTATTTTCAAAAATGTATTTTTTTTATTATTTATTTTTATTTAGTCTATAATTTAAACGTCTATTTTATTTCTTGCTTTTTAGACTTCAAACCCGTTTATGTGTATACATACGGTGTGTATAGATATATGCGGTGTGTGTATATTGTATACGGTATGAGGAATGGGATGTAATGTGTGTGATGTGTATGTCAGCACTTCAAACACCGTTTTCTGCATTGAAAAGCACTTTATTTTTGTTATTAGTTTTGAATTTTATTTTTCATAAACTCTATTATAATATGGGCTTAAGATGTGATTTTATTTTTCATATTTTCAAACATTTTTATTTCTCTTTTTTGACTATAATTTTCTGAAACGCAAACTCTCTATCAAGACGTCTCTCTCTCTCTTTCTCTCTCTCTCTTTCTCTCTCTCTCTCTCTCTCTCTCTCTCGCACTCACTGTCTCTCAAACATCACATTTCAATTGCCATACGTTTTCACTCTCACAAACTGTTCGCTCAGTTTTAAGAAAAACTTTTTTTCTTATTTTATTTTTACATAACAATACAATACTCGTATACACCGCGAGTGTTGTGAACGTATAAAACTTTTTTCTCTCTTATTTTTATCGGACTTTTATTTTTTAGACCTCAAAGACTTGTTTCTATGCTTTTGACTCTATTTTATTATTTTTCTCTCTCACAGCCTATTCTTCGCTCACTATTTATAT